TTCGCCGTATAAGTCACACCTTTTTGCATAAATGTGCATGCCCTGCGACTTATAAGGCGAAGTGACGTATTTATGTTTTTTTCCCCATATTTATATAACTCAATTTTTGGCTGAGACCTGATGATTTCATTCATTCTGACGTGTAAAATATTGACCACTACCATTTTCAGCCACTGGAGGGCCCTCGACTGATATGGCAAGCCAAGTGTCTCAACAGCAGGTAAAAGTGGTTATTAATGAGACACTTGGCTTGCCATACCAAGCCACCTTCATCTTGCTCCGGAACTCCTGGAGCAAACGTCAAATCAGCTGCATTTCACCGCGCCACACAGGTGAAATGCAGCTGATTTGACTATTAAAGTGCATTTATTAAGGAAAAACTCAACTGAGACACACGTTTACTATAATGTCGAGCAAGCAAATAATTGTTTTTAGATGGTTTGCTTGTTAAATTCTTGTTAAAATCCTCCCATGAACACTCCTGTGACCAAAATTTGGCAGTCAATCGATTTTTGGCACAACACTGGCCCACATTTCCAGGTGGTCAGCGGTGACGCATAATAGATGTGACTTATGTGGCCAAGCAACATATTTATGTTTTTTCCATTTTATTAGACATATTTGGACTGATGTGACTTATATGGTGGTGCGACATGTACGGCGGCAATTTCTTGATAAGGACACATATTTAAGGTTATGAAAAAAGGCGAGTAGGACTGATTTCAGCTGATTACATTAATCTGGATAAAGTTGTCTGGCATTCTTGCTGCTATCTATGAACCTCCAATCTAAACAGTTTTGCCCTCTGGTTAAAGTCCCCCCTTTCCCAAGGGTCCTTTCATTAATCATGGCTGAAGTGCTGAGAGAACCAAGATCCCCACTTACTGAAACCAAAGAACAGAGCTGCTTCTGAGCACTGACTGCAGCTGAAGTTCAGAAAAGTTTTACCATACATTAAACTAAAAAAAAAACAACAACATATTAATCAAGATGTATTCCTAAATATTGCGGAAAAGGTTTGACCTGGACAAGACCCCACGTTCCTCCCTTCCATGGAGGGTAGTTCCTGTTTTCCACTATCGTCACCTTGCAACAAACCAGGCGCACATCCTTGTATTCTACTTAAGGAAGCTCCTACGTGTGTAAAACTCAGAAAAGTATGCAAGCTCAGACGAAGCCAAACCAGCATTCTTTGCCATTGTCAGGCTGTTTTTCCAAACAGATCCAAGAGTGAGAAAAAAACTAAACACACTCAGAAATTACACATGATACAACCGATTATTCACAAATGTGCCAGGCATAATGAGGTTGTCAGTACAGGTTAAATAAACACCAGGACCTGCTCCAGTGGTTAGGACAGGGAGGGGGTAAACAAGCAAAGCTACAGGGTTAAAGTGTGGTTGACTCTAAGTGAGCCTATTAGTCATCTGCTCAGTTTTAAATTACAAACCCGTGTTTTGTCAGATGGCAAATTAAAAAGAAAAAAAAAAAAACGCTAACATGAAACGCAGATGTTGACAATTCTTTCACTTCTGCCTTGTGTTTTTGTCCACAGCTTCCTGATGTTGGATTAACTACCTTTATTTTGCTCACTGTTGGATTTATGAAAGCAAAATCTAGAAGCTTGCATTTCATCTCTTTGGGACAAAACCATAATTAACAGACATCACAGTCTCCTGCCAGCTCTGTTCTCCAGCCTAACACCAAAAGCAAACAACAAATGAAAGGCCTAGCATTCCTTGGATTAATGCATATCACCCGCTGCCTTGCCTGAGTTTTAAAAACCTATACTGAGAAATGACAGTAGCCATTTGGGTCAAACCTTGGTAATAATGCTATGTACGATGTCGAATCACACTCAGTACACAGATGGGAATAACTCTCAGCTACTACCACATCAAATTTTTGCTTAATAACTTCAAAATTGACTGACTTAGATATTTTAATGGTGTCTAACATGAATATGCTGTGACAGCCATCTCAAACTGGATTGACTCTGAAATATAATCTTTTGTAAGTACACATTCAATTATTGTTTTCTGAAAGTGTCGACAAAATCCGTGAAACGGTTGATAAGATATTTTGCTTAAAACAAACAATGTTAACTCCAACAGGTTAATTAATTAAATAAATACTGAATTTGCTTCATACACCAAAGTTAGTCATGGAGTTCCTCAGGGTTCAGTGCTTGGACCAATACTCTTTACTTTGTATATGCTTCCATTAGGTCAAGTTAGTAAACAGCATGAGATACATTTTCATTGTTTTTTATTTATTAATGTGTTAACCTTTATTTAACCAGGCAAATTCCATTGAGATCACAGATCTCTTTTGCAAGGGAGACCTGGACCTGAAGGCAGCCTAACATGCATGTTTTTGGTCTGTGGGAGGAAACCAGACCCGGAGAAGACCCACACAAGCACGAGAAGAACATGCAAACTCTACACAGAAAGAGCCCATGTCCAACCGGGGATTGAATCCAGGACCTTCTTTCTGTGAGGCAACAGTGCTAACCACTGAGCCATTGTGCTGCCACTTATTTTTATACTGATGATACTCATTTACAGGTAAATTTATCCATAAAACCTGATTAATCCAATCAGTTATTTAGATTACAAGAATGCCTTAAAGACATAAACATCTGGATGACCCTTAATTTTCTGCTTTTAAACTCTTGTCTTAATGTCTTTTAACCCGCACATTAAAAAAGTTACCAGGATTGTTTTCCTCCACCTGCATAATATCGCTAAAATTAGAAACATCTCGTCCAAAAGTGATGCAAAAAAAACTGGTCCATGCGTTTGTCACGTCTAGACTGGACTATTGCAATGGTTTATTATCTGGGTGTCCAAAAAAAATATTTTAAGTCTTCAGTTGATCCAAAACGCTGCTGCCAGAGTCTTAACTGGAGTTAGTAGGAGAGATCATATCTCTCCAGTTTTAGCTTCTCTCCATTGGCTCCCTGTCAAATCCAGAATAGAATTCAAAATCTTACTTCTAACCTACAAAGCTCTCAACAACCTAGCTCCATTTTATATTTCAGATTTTATTGCTCCATATTTTCCTAACAGGGCATTTTGCTCGCAGGCTGCAGGTTTACTTGTGGTTCCTAGAGTTTCCAAAAGCAGAATGGGAGGAAGATCTTTCAGTTATCCGGCTCCTCTCTTGTGGAACCAACTTCCAGTGTGAGGCTGACACATTGTCCAGTTTTCATATTAGACTTAAGACTTTCCTTTTTGATAAATCCTATAGTTAGGGTCGGCTTGGGTTTCCTGAGCTATCCCTTAGTTATGATATAGTGTAAGCTTAGACTGCTGGAGGACAAACTGACCACATTTCCTCATTCTGCTGCTGTCTTTACTTTCTTATACCTGAATATTGTTTATCCTTAACATGATTTTTGTCTTTCCTCCATTAGTGGGTACACCGTTTGTTTGTTTCTCCTTCCTGTTCCTCTCAAACCAGCCGGTCGAAGCAGATGGCCGCTCATCCTGAGCCTGGTTCTGCTGGAGGGTTCTTCCTGTTATAAGGGAGTTTTTTCTTTCCACTGTTGCCTTTGTGCTCGCTCAGGATGGGAGACTGCAACAAGTGAAGATTCATCACAACCTGCTGGCTTTCTTGGATAGAGAACTTTTACTCATTGGCTTTTTAATGTTTCTGTTCTGTGCCCTGACACAACTTCGGTTTTGACTTGGCGCTATATAAATAAATCGACTTAAGTTTAATAATTAAGTTTTAAGCAAAGATCTTGAGCACCAAGTAGCGCTGAGCTACAACCACACCAAATTTTTAGCACGATATCTGTAAAACTGGCTGAATTGTAGTTATTTCTTGTGTTTTCTAATGTCAACTAGCTGTGGCGGTCATCTTGAACTGAGCTGAATCCAAAGGTTAATCAGTTGTAGATGCACATCTAGTGATCATTTCCTGATTGTTTGATTAAAATATGCCCTGTGCTTTATGAAATATTTTGCTAACAGAAAGACAGAGTTGACTCCAAATACTAAAGGCAAAGTTTTAAGCAAAGATATTGCGCAATCGGTTAGCGCTCAAATCATTTCTTGGGGGAAACTTTCAGCTACTACCACACCAAATTTTAGCTCAATGTCTGTCAAACTGACGGACTTGCAGCCATTTTTGAGTTTTTAAAACTAGTTGGCTGTGGCAGCCATCTTGAATCGAACTGCCTCTCAAAGTTAATCAGCTGTAGATGGACAGCCAGTCATTACTTCCTGCGAGTTTCTTTAAAATTGGTGCCATGGTTCGCGAGATATTTTGCTAACAGACGCGCGCGCACAAACGCAGGCACAAAACGAACAGCCTGTGCTTTAAATCCTTCAGGTGCACCAGATCCCACCTATCCAGACATTCTCATCATCGCACATGAACAATGACTCAGGTGCTCACACGCTTCGTGCACGCCCGGGTTGCCGCTGAACTCCAGCACGTAGAGGTGTCTCCCCTCCACGCTGCGCCCGATGCTGTAGATGCGCGTGATGTACGGGCACTGGTTCTGCACGGCGAACAGGGCTCGCACCATGTCATCGTACCGGTGATGCTGGAAGTCCGAGCCCGACGCCAGCAGCCCCGTCGCGGCGAGCAGGAGCGCACAGAGCCGGGGGGCGGTCCACCCCTGCAGCAGCATCGCGGCCCCCTCCACCAGGAGCGCGCACAGAAACAAAACAGGAAGGCTCAAACCCGCAGAACGTCAGACGCGCTGGATTACTTCACATGCCGAGCATGCTGCTCCTTTTCCCCCCTTCTTGTTGCCCCTCTTGGTCCTGTTCTCCCACCGCCTCCTCCTGTACGTACAGTTCTAACAGCAAGGAGCAAGTAAGGACAGCCCCCCTGCTCCTTCTTTGTCTCTCTCTCCTCCTCCTCTTCCTCCAACAGCTGCTCCCCCCACTGCTTTCTTTCCCTTTGGGTCCTTGACAAGTATAGGCTTTTTGCTTTAAGAGTGCTTCAAATGCTTCCACTTATAGGACCCCCCCCCCCCCCCCCTCTGGGGCTTCTGCACACACACTCACACACACATGTAAATTTTAAATTTGCCCGTGAGTCTCTCATTTTCTGTCTCTTTCTTTGTGTTTAACTCAAAGTTATGTGCTGCATTTCTTGGAAAAGAGGGGTTGTTTCCACAGCGCTGCTTCCCCATCCATGCAGCCCCTCAATCATCCATTCATTAACTCTTGAGTCAACACAGTGTGTGTGTGTGTGTGTGTGTGTGTCTCAGATGAATCATTGCAAAAACAAATAAATGAAAGTCTACTTTGCAACCTTTAGACTGGTTGTAGAGCTCTGTTCCTGCAATATGCTCAGAAAAAAAACAAGACTAACTACAGGGTGATGCCAAGGCTCCTGCACAGAACACTGACAGCTCTTTTCTTCCTGGTTTTAGTAATCATGGAGCTAAACATTCCAGTCGGAACCATTGACTGAAACCAGCACTGCAGAGAGCTCCAGTATGAGCACAAATTTCAGTCATAAATATTTCATGCTTGTAAACTAGTTTTGTAAAGTAAATCTGTGCATGTATAGGCATTTGTGTGTGTAAAGAAAAAATTGTATTTGTTCAAAATAATTACACAAGTTAGAAATCTTTTTTTTTTTTTTCTTCAAAAGTCTGTTTACAGCAGCTGTGTGCAACTTTTTATTTTTATTTTTCCAGAGGGTCAAATCAAGACAATGACAGCAATCAAAGGGCCTCACGGAGAGTTAGAAAATACATTTTCTTTAAAACAGAAGACTTTGTTCAGGCTTTTTCTTGTTGTAGCATACTTTAGCATGCTTGATTAAAACGTGTCTGCCCAATAGGATGTAAGACTCTGTAAACTTTATCTTATAAAACATCTTTGTTAGCTTAAATGTGCAAAATAATAATAATAATAATAATTAGGCTAAAAAATATGGTTTTAGTATTTTTTTAATGCAAAGATTTTGGATGTATTTGTCTAAGATGCTTAATTTAGATTTAATTGAATTTCATTGATAAAATGCAGGTTTTCATCAACTTATTTAAAAGTTGTTTTCTTCTCAATTAAGGATATTGGGGACCGGATAGAGATTGTTCAGGGGCCACTTTTGGCCCTCGGGCCATATGTTGCCCACATCTGGTTTACAGTAATAAACAAACAAACACAAAAAAAACTTGACGTCACTTGGGAAGGGGGCACTTTACTGAGCCATAAGTCCTGATAGCATTACTTCATGGTTTAGTGGAACAAAAACAAAATTATTGCCCAGAAATATATTTCTGAAAATCACGTTTGGTGACTTTGGGTAGTATTCAGTCATGTGACCCACTAGCTACCCTGTCGGGCAAAACATTGAGCACAGAAATGATCTGGAGTGATCAATAATACTGTCGTGTGGAGGTGAAGAACAAGGAAATAACAAGGAAATGTTGACAGCCACGAGAGCACACACACACGTCTTTGTAACAAACATTTGATCAAAAGTAAGATTGCAATTACTTTTTTGATTCTGGTGTTTAGTAATGTCACTGTTGCTACGGTTTTATATAATGAAGATTAGAGGATGAGCTCTAATAACGTAATGAGATAGTGTGGACTTGAAAACATGCTAATGCTAAGACAAGCTAAATGCTGTCAACATGAACTCAGGAAGCTTTTTAATCAAATTAAAAAGATTAACTGATTAACATGACTAACATGAACAGCAGCTGATTAACACCTCAAAAGCTCAAATCACATCTCAACTACAGCCCCAAATCTCAAATGTGTTGAAAAGGAGGTGCCGAAGATGCATTCCCGTCTCCTTGCCAGCTGTGCTCGAGAGCCTGACCACTGAGATCCTGGAACTAGCATTCGGGCGGTCCTGCAGCCTAGGGGAGCCGAGAGGCCAGCCGAGTCTGGGTGGATGTATTCTAGGGCATTTGCAGCCATTTTCTTCAGATCCGCTGTGGGATGGACCTTTACAAGAGATCCTTCCTGCCTACCATCAGCATCTATAACATTTCAATGAATCAAGGATAATGAGTTACAACAAATAATTTCCCTTTGGGATTAATAAAGTATTTTTGAATTGAATAACTGAAGTTAATTGGTTTTACATGAAGTCATCGCTCTGTGTTCATAAACTATAGATTTATGTGAAATGTTGTATACATAGCATCAATCAGATAGAATATGAGTCCAGTAAATGTCTCCGTCAGGCATCGTTTTACATTCGGCACTGAAAAAATAATCATTTATAAAATTATTGACTATCTGACAAAAGAGGTTTGAACTCAGAATAAAGCATGTTCCTCTTGATTTGCCTTTCGCTCTGGTTACTTCTGTCCATGCGAACAGTTGATTTAAAAAGTATCAAAAGGTTTGTTGCCGACAGGTGAATATGAGTTCATGCAAGCACAACCGCTGATGTTAATCACGTGTTAATACTTTGACATTTAGTGAAAATAATGCACTTTTTATTATTTATGAACAGGTGTTGGCCACCCTCTGACTGGGTTCCTTCCATCCTGCCACCCACACCAGTGACTAAAAAGAGAACGAGAGACCTGCTGAGGTACGAGCAGCTCAGCAGCCTGCAGAAGAAGAGGAGGGAGGAAAAGGTGAAGGAGTGGACGTCAACGCATAACTTCCACTCGCTGAGGATGAGCAACAGATGCAAGGACACAACTGCAAGTTTACAAAAAGAATGGAACAAATCGAAGGAGGAAAGTTGTAAGCTCAAAGAAACAACTGGATCAGGAGTATTTGATGGAGCATGATGACAGATGTGCCCACATGTTTTAAATTTATTTTAGTTGACCGTTACAAGGTGAAATGTTTGAGAACCAGTTTTCATTTATGACATGACCTTGATATTTCAAACAGTTTTAACCTTTGTAATGTAATTTCTGCAAACTGTAACAAACTTGTCCTCTTTTCAACAACCACAGCTCTGAGACTGAAGATGAATCTTCTTCGTCTCTGCTTGGTTCTGTTCTCAGATCACCGAGCACCGTGAACTTCTGGACTCTCTCAGTCCATGGGGTCATTTTAACACAGAGGGTTTGACCTCCAGACGCAGGAAGAGGGCCACCTGCATCATGAAGGACCCCGCTCACCCAGCACACACACTTTGAGGAGCATCAAGTAGAACCACTAGACCAGGGGTGTCCAAAGTACGGCCCGTGGGCCATTTGTGGCCCTTTGGACTAATTTTGTGCGGCCCCTGACTGCAATCAAAGAATGTTATAATTTTGAGCCACAGACTCAAGAGGTTGATGCAGATGTAGACCTTTAGATTTAGAGATGATAAATGTTTACTTTTTTATATTTAACAGCAAAACAAGTTAAAATAATCTTCTCAAAATGAGCGATATTAAGTACAATACAAATATTTAGCTATAATGAATCCCTTTATCCTACAACAACCTACCAAAAAGTATAATTTTAGATAATAATTCATAAAACTTGGCTTTTTTGGGGGAGAAATTGGACATTTTTAAACGAATATAAAGTGGTATCATTGACTTATAAGTTGCTCAACTTTATCCGTGCATGCACCTGTTTTAGAGACTGCCAGCTGGACACCCCCCCCCCCCCAAAAAAAAAGTAAAATAAATAAAATCACATAAATTAAATAAAAAAATAAAATAAAAAAGTTAATGTTTATGAGGCTCCTAATGCTCTGGATCTGCAATAATTTAAACGAAACTTTCAGCCTTTCTTTCTCCAAAATATTGTTCGAGTTGTTGAGAGTTTAAAAATGAGGGGGGGAATAACACTTTTGAAACTTTTTTCCTTTCTTAAATTCAAAATTTTCTGGCCCACCAATGAAAACATATGGACACTCCTGCACTAGACTGAGGAACAGCTTCTACCCTGAAGCTGTTGGACTCATAAACCCCTAACCAGGAAAGTCACTGTGATGTCATTTTAATCAGAGATTTGTCACTTTATCTGCGCTGCTGATTTCTTACATGAAACTGCTATATTCATATCCATCTTCTCACAGCAGACTCATGTTCAGGCTGCTGTTTAATACACCTTATTATATTATTATTGTTTAGCGTACATCTTAGATCCTTGTATACTGTTTCTTCTTTATAGTTTTTTTTTGTTGCTATTTTTGAATGTAACTGGGACTCTGTGTACATTTCGTTCCACCTCATGTACCACATGTGATGCGAATGACAATAAAGAACATCACAGCTTAAAGATCTTACATCTGTCATGTTTTACATCTGAATTGCTTCACTGTTCACTTTAATCGCAGCACTCCTCCGCAGCTTCAACCAGTGATGGTGACGTCACATCATCAAGCTCCCAGGCGGCTCCCACCTCATCTGCCTGATTTGTCCCAATGCAGCACTGGATCCTGACTCCCACCAGCAGCTGCTAAACAATAAACATTTTAACCCTTCTTGTTGTCCGGCTGTCTTATCGAATCCTAAAACCTGATCCTTGTCAACACCTCTGGATAAAACAGTGCACGTATACTGTGCGCAGACCAATGGCTCCCTTTCTCCCTCTATTGTTCCTTCAAGTTTAAACATTTAAAACAGGGTGATATTGTACAGTGAGTTAATATTTTCATTAAAATAATGGATGCCAGTTATGATGTAATGATGAAACGTTTCACCTTCCATCCAGAAGTCTTCATCATTCTACTCTAAGGCATATGTGTCAAACTCAAGGCCCGGGGGTCAAATGTGGCCCTCGTCGACATCCTATCTGGCCCCCAAGATGATATTTTAAACGTAAAATATTTATCACTTTATTTTTTTTTTCAGTAATCTTTGATTATGAAGTCAAAAGTGCAACATCATGTACCAATCAAACTCTTGGTGAGGAACCTGCAACCAAGAAAAGACGTTGGGTATCTAACTTGAGTTAATGTAGATTCTGAAACCGGCCCTTAGTTTGAAAAAGGTTTTAATTTTGGCCCCCTTTTTAGTAAGTGGGTTTGACACAAGGAAACACACAACACCAAACTGATTCTCTTCCCAACAGCTCGCTCTAAATGCTAAGATGGTCTCTGGGGTTCACTGGAAAGATCATACAACAAGGTAAATATTTACAAGGCTCTAGAAACACACAAAGGGCTGAGAGCATGAACCATTGGCTGGGTAATGCTCCAGCGTGGAAAGAGAGTCTTCATATGCCTTGGAGTCTCATCAGGAACATGTTGTCTGCAGGAATGGGAGCATGGCGCCCTCTGGTGACCAAACACTGGAACTCCCACAGTTTCATTCCTGAATGAGCTGAATGTTTTGACCAGAGGTGGAAAGAATACTGGAAAATTATACTCAAGTACATGTACTGTTACACTGCTTAAATTGTACCAAATTACAAGTAAAAGTACTGGTGTTATACAAGTCCAAAGTACTCTTCTCAAAAACTACTCCGAGTATTAATTACTTTTTAACCAATTGATGCTTTGTTGTGTTGTCAATAGAAAGTTTGATTTACTGTATATAACAGCTACATTCAAAGCACATTTCTCAGACGCTCCGTCTTATTTTAGTACCAGTTAAACCGATGGCAGTGACAATATCTAAGATCTTTGCATACTTAGCCAAATAAAAAAGCAATATCATACAGGTGTAAAACCTCGTATACCACAATATGTTTTTTGAGATTAGATGCTGAAATATTGTAAACTAATCACTGTAAAGATCAAACAAACTTTGCATCTGGATGCTGTCTCCTTTTCACCCTCTGTACATGAAACATTCCTCCAGTTACGGCCACGGACACTCGTCCTCAGCCTTTACCTCGTCATTTTCTTTTGACATTGTTGCCCTCTTTCAACATTTTGTTTTTTTTCTCCAAATCTTTGGTCCACAAATGACTCTCTACTTTACAGAGTTGTTCTTCGCTTACGTCATAGATAACTGACGTGTTTGCAATCTGAGAGTCTTATTGGCTACAAAGAATATTATTATATAAATTCAAATTGTGGCCGTATTCAGTAGCGACTTCTGATTTTAAAAGTAAAGAAGTATATTACATGATCTAAATTGTACTTAAGTATGAGTAAAATTACACACTTGAAAGAAATACTCATAAAAGTACAAGTACCCCAAAAAAATCAACTCAATTACAGTAATGTGAGAATCCACATACAGGTGGTCCAGGAGGACCGAGAGGCCCGCCAGATCTGACAGCAAGCTGGATCCAGATTGACGGATCTGCGGCCAGATTCTTCAGATTCGCTGCAGGAGATCCTTCCTACCCGCAGCATCTATAACAACTTTTGAATGAGGATGATGAGCTACGACAACACTTAATGTCCCTTTGGGATTAATAAAGTATTTTTGAATTGAATTGAATTTGTTACCCTGGTTTTGAAGTATGAAAGGCTAAAACAGCACAAAGTAAGCTGAGGTAGTTAGATTGTAAAAATGTGCACAAACAAAAAAAAGTACAGGAAAACAATCAACATTTAGAAAATAATAGTTTTTTTTTTTGTTAACTGCAAGTCTAACACAGATCAATGGTTCGTGTTGTTCTTACAGTCAGTGGCCGCTAGAGGGCGGTGTAGCACCACTGAGCAAACCTGAAAACTCTACACTAGTTATTTTCATTAAAATTACATTTAATGCACTTTAAAACATTTTCATGCCTTTTCATTTACAGTTTTAGCCTTTTTATTGTTGGTAATCTAAAATATGTTGAGTTTACGGAACAAAAACACGACTAAAGGAGTCTTATTTATTCATTAATATGACAGCTTGGTTGGACCTGCTGCTCTCCATCTTCCCTCCCACTTATTAAAATGAACATGGAAGGTACAGGCGTGGAGTAAAGGGGCGGCTTTTAGGCATTTGACTGTATTTGGAGTTGCTTAAATTACGTTAAGCTTCCGACAATTTATTTATTTTTGTCTAGTTCTCCTCCTCAGTGACAGGCTGCACCCTGACTGGAGAGCCCGCACCAGGATGGCTGCTCCCCCGAAGCAGCGGAGCCTCCTCCGGATGATGTGCGCTTTGCTCCTCGCCGGGATAACAGCAGCAAGCGGTGAGACTTTACCATGTTGTCAAGAGTTTAAGACGAAAGCGAGAGAGAAAAAACATGTCATCTTGTTTTGACATCTTTATTCAACTCTAAAATGGTTTTACTTTAAGAGTTTGGGAGCCTTTTAGTTATTGTTTCTTCTTCTACGGTTTTAAAAGAGTAGATTTCCAATACAACTCTTTTCCATCTCAGTTTAAAAAAAAAAAAAAAAAAAGTTTTAATGCCACTTATAAAATTCAGTTTAGTTTGGTTTATTTATCACACCAGTTCAAAGCAAAGTGTACTCTACAGGGAATATAAAAATATAAATATTTTCAGTCCAGTTATGATAAAAGTTATACTTGCAGATTCAGGATAGTTTTGTTTTAACATGTCATTTCATAAAAAAAAAATGTTCAGCGAAGAACATTTTGTATAACTTGTTTCAATCGACAGGTTGTAAAAAGAGATGTTATGATCACCAAGCTTTTAGGCATCTGAGGGTTCCTGGCAGGGGCGTCAGAAGCATTTGTAATGTGGGGGGTCCTTCCCCAGAAAATATGAATAAAGTAGATGCCATTTCCTCCATTCTGGTGTATTTTAACAGGTTGTTACGATTACGTACATAAGTAAACACTTGCTTCAATAACTATTTTACAGAGACAGATTCCTCGTTCAACTAGTCCATATAGTCAAGTCAAATTTATTTATAAAGCACATTTAAAACAGCAGTGGGTACCAAAGTGCTTAACAATAAGATCAAAGCAGTTATTAAAGAAAAACTAATAACAATATGTAATTGAATCAAATCATAGTGTGTTAAACGTCAGTGAAAACAGGTGTGTTTTTAGAAGAGATTTAAAAGCAGGAAGTGAAGTGGCCTGTCTAACGTTGAGGAGCAGATTGTTCCACAGTTTAGGGCCCATGACTGGAAAAGCCCGATCTCCTCTGACCTTTAACCTGGTTTATGGTACAACCAAAAGCAACTGGTCAGATCATCAGCTGACCATCATATATCAACAGGCTGATGATATCATCCTGGTTTTAAACTCACTCCTATGGCTAAGATAATGAAATGAAGGTGACACAACTGATCACAAACAATGACTTTAGGGGTGCACTTCACTTTTACTTAGCTTATTTTTTTATTTAGTTTTAGTTGTAACACAACTTAACATTGCGCTACGCAATTGTGACACCGAACTGCATTTACTAAAGTATTTTTGAAATGAATTGCATGCTTAAAAATACGAATATTAACTTTACCCAATGAACAAGGTGCACATTTGATCAGCACTTACAGTGAATTTAAGAAGGCATTTAACTTTTTTTCTGATTTAGTGATAGGCCTATGACCTGGCATCATGCAGCCTTCACAACACAAAATTACACTGTGCCGAGCGACAGTGACACAAAATAAAAAACACTTTTTTTTTGTCAGTTATGTCAACCTGCATGTAATCACCGTATTAAAACAAAGGGTTCCTTCCCTTGCTGCCACCACAATTTCTACACTTCATAACTTTTATTTGACAAATATTCTAAAAATGAGCCACCTTCTGTCATTTACAGACACAAAAGACTGGCAAATCTCCTTCATGGCCACCTGATCAAGTCTATCTTGGTGTATGTGGGAGACAGCTACATTGTTCAAATGATGCTGTTTCATGGAGGAGAGAAGCCATGTGTTAAGCTCTAAAACTTCCTTCAGCCTGAGGTGGAGAGCACGGCACAACAAGTAGACTAACACCTCTCCTTGTGAATAGAGCACGTACGTCTGGCAGCAGAGCTCCGAGAGTCTCTGCAGCTTCACTAACTGTGTTGCTGCTTTGTAAAAGATGTCCATTGTGTCTGGGGAGGGATCAGATTTTGCAAACAATCAATCGGCATCTAAGAATACCAATCTATACTAGCCTATTATTTTTAATTAAAGTTTAGCTTCATCCTAATTTTTCATTGTTTAGTTGAACAATTAACATGGCCTAGGGGTAAATAAAAAAAAAAGACCAAGAATCTTCTTCTTTGTGTCGTTTCAGGCTCAAACGTGTGCACATCCAGAGGAGCCAGCACATGCAAGCAGTGTCTGGCCGTGCACCCCAGCTGTGCGTGGTGCTTCCAAGAGGTGAGGTATTCTTGTCGGCCAGAAACCATCTGGTCTGGAAGGTCTCTCATCTAGTGGATTTCTTTAAAATCGCTTAAAGACTCGTCAGGTTTAGGCAACAAGTTCATTTTCATCTTTAGTATAAAAGAAACAGCTCAAAGTGATTAGCTGCTTCAATGACACCAACCATTCCAGCTTTTTGTTTTGCTGAAGTTTTTTTCATTGTATTACATCAAACTTTGTGCTGTTTTAGCTGTTCATATATTAAAGCAGTCCTCTCATTCAGGAGATAGGTGCTACAACTTTTAGTTCATGCTCCTTCAGCGTACACGCTTTGTTTTTGTCTTTTCATGCTACTAATAGCTTATAGCTAATGATCTGCTACTTTTAGCTTTTAGTTAGCCTTTTGATACTTTTAGCACACATTGAGCTAATTTTAGCTTTTACATAGCCTTTTTACTGTTAGCTGTTAGCAAGCATGTTCCTACTTTTAGCTTTTAGCTAGTGCCTTTACTACTTTTCAATTTTAGCATTAGGTGCATTTACTTAGCCTTTTGTTGCATTTAGCTACTTTTAGCTTTTTGCTATTTTTAGCTTTTATCAAGCGTTTTGCTACTTTTAGTTTTTTGTTGCTTTTAGCTGTTATCAAGCATTTTGCTACTTTTAGTTTTTAGCTAGTGTCTTTTCTACTTTTCCATTTTAGCATTAGGTGTATTTACTTAGCCTTTTGTTACATTTAGCTTTTTGTTTTAGCTGTTATCAAACATTTAGCTACTTTTAGTTTTTAGCTATGTACCTTTTTTACTACTTTTCCATTTTAGCGTTAGGTGCATTTACTTTGCCTTTTGTTACCTTTACCTAGCATTTAGCTACTTTTAGTTTTTTGTTACTTTAGCTTTCATCAAGCGCTTTGCTACTATTAGTTTTTAGCTAGTGTTTTACAAATTTTCCTTTTTAGCTAGTGTTCTGCAACTTTTTATTACTTTTAGCTTTTGTCAAGCATTTTGCTACTTCTAGTTTTTAGCTAGTGTCTTTACCACTTTTCCATTTTAACGTTAGGTGTATTTACTTAGCCTTTTGTTACATTTAACTACTTTTAGCTTTTTGTTACTTTTAGCTGTTATCAAACATTTAGCTACTTTTAATTTTTATCTATGTGCCTTCTTTACTACATTTACATTTTAGCATTAGGTGCATTTATTTTGCCTTTTGTTACCTTTACCTAACATGTAGCTATTTTTAGATTTTGGTTACTTTTTGCTGTCATCAGGCATTTTGCTACTTTTAGTTTTTAGGTAGTGTTTTACAATTTTTCCATTTTAGCTAGTGTTTTGCTACTTTTCGGTTTACATTTGCTGTTTAATACGTTTGACTTTTTAATCCTATTTTGCTAGTGTTTTCTTACCTTTCAGTTTTAGGTCATTGCAACTTTGAGCTTTTAGTTTTCTGTTAGCTGTGATTTGCTTCTTTTAGCTTCAACAACTCAGTTTTAGCTTCTCCAGGAAACTTTGCTTCTTTTCGCACTCAGCGATCACGCTGCATTTCATCAGAAAATGGAGTCGCTCCAGTTTAAACTATCGTCGATACTTTTGCAACATCTAATGATTTGTTCTCTACACATCATTCTCCCTGCACTGTCAGGACTTCGGCCATGGAGTTGCCGGCTTATCTCGCTGTGATCTGAAGAAGAACCTCCTGGCAGCGGGGTGCTCTTCATCGACTATGGAGTCACCGAGCAGCAAACTGCAGGTGATTGAAGACCGGCCTCTTAGCAACAAGGCAGCGGGCGCAACACAGGACGTTACCCAGATAAAACCCCAAAGACTCCACATCACTCTCAGGCCGGGTGCGTCCCTCTGGATAAGATCTACTCTCTCTATAAACCACTCAGAAAAAGACTCGCGTCAGCAAATTAAAGCAACTTCTCATTTTCCAGATGACTCCAAGCGCTTCACTGTGAAGGTGCGTCAGGTCGAAGACTACCCCGTTGACCTGTACTACCTCATGGATCTCTCCTACTCCATGAACGATGACCTGTTCCGCCTGCGGACGCTCGGCAAAGGCCTGGCTGAAGCCATGAGCCGCACAACCAGCAACCTGCGCATGGGCTTCGGGGCGTTCGTGGACAAGCCGCTCTCGCCGTACATGTACATCTCACCTGAGGAGGCGGTGAAAAACCCCTGCTACAGGTAAAGCTGTGCACATGCTGTCCTCAACTAGTTAGATATATAACAGCTGTAGCGCTCTTTATCACCCGCCAAAGGTGTGTTTGTATGTCTGTTAGCAAAATATCTCGAACCACTGGACTGATTTTGATGGAACTATTATAAAGTGTTAATAGGTTGTGCCTCTACAACTGTTTAACTTTGAGAGGCACCTACTTTAAGATGGCAGCCACAGCACGTTGACAGTAGCAAAAATTGCTATAATTTCATCAATTTTACAGATACACAGCTAAAATGTGGAGAGATTGTAGAAGAAAGTCGTCTCCGAAACATACTCTAAGTGCTAAAGTTTAGTGTGATGTCTTTGCTTACAACTTTGGTAACTGTTGTAGTCAGCCATAGTCTGTTAGCAAAATATCTCAAACTACAGGACAGATTTTTTTTATAAACTCTCATAAACTAATCATTGGATGATTATCTACAACTGATTAACTTTTGGAGTCAACCCAAATCAAAATGGCTGTCACAGCTAATCAACCTGAACAAACACAGAAATGGCTACAGCTCATTCAGTTTTACAGATCATGAACTAAACTTTGGTGTGGTAGTGGCTGAGTAGCTCAAAAAGTGAATACACCCCTCACATTTGAGTAAATACTTTAATGTCTCTTTTCGTGGGACAACGCTGTAGATATGACACTTGGAGACAAACTGCTGGAAACAAAAGTGACTACACCTCTAAGAGAAAATGCCCAAATTGTTTTCAGTTCATTTTTAATTTAAGAAACTGTTAAGTTTATCTACAAAGTATTAATGCACTACTACTTATGCGCTTTTCATTTGTCGCTTGTGAACAGGTTGAGTTTAGATTTGTGAAAATTTACAAATGTGCACTGTTCGAGTGTTGTCATTGTGTTAGAGAGAGTGAATAAATTTGACATTAAACATAATCCAAGTTGAAGTGTTACATCATTTTCAGCCCCTTTTTGGCATCTGTATTTGTTAGCAGGTCAAACTGACAAAGACCATGAAGAATAATGTAGTATTTTAATTCCACAGCAGAGAAAGATGTGTAGTCTATGTAAGTAGGTCTAGGGGGAAAAACATCGGTATTGGTATCGGATATCGGCCAAAAATCCAATATCGTGCATCCCTAGTTGTAGTTTTCATTTTAAAAGTGAACCTCTGCTCATTCTGTTTTATGTGTCTCTGTCCACGTACCTGAACTGAATCCAGACTCTGATTGGTACCCCTCCGTGTTGACTCTGGTGGTTGTTTATGTCTGCATGTGGAAAGTGGCGTCAATCTGCAGATGATGTCATTTCTTTTTTGTGAGGACATCTTTAATGACAGTGCGGAAATAACTCAGGCAAAGTCATTGTGGTCGTTAACAGCTCACCGTGGCTCAGTCAGCTGCTCTGATTCAGCTGCAGGTAATTTACTCAGAGAACAAGAAAGCCTTGGAGCTGGACTGTAACGCCACCCCGGGGTTCGTTGACGTTCTTCATGCACAGTTTGATAAAAGAATTGTTTTAATGAAAGATAGCATGAGTGAAGAGTTTCAGTGTTGTTGCTTACATGTAAAAGTGTGATGCAATTAACTAAAACCATGAGGACGCAGTCTTGTAATCCTGAGGCTGTGGGTTTGAGCCCAGGTTGCGTCAGGAAGGACATTTGGTGTAAAACAACAACTCTACAGTGTTGCACCTATAAATCGCACAAAATGAGAAGTAAACACGACTGCTTCCACAGAAAAGTGTTGCATAAGATGTGGGACTTAACAAAAAAAAAATCAACAAGATGACCATATATATTTTATTTAACAATTTCTGAAGCATTTTTAAGACGTACATGTGAATGTGTATGCGCAGGACGTTTTGTGTCATCCCATTGCTCTAAACACAGTAACTGTTAGTGGACTTTGCATCTACTGTTTTTACAAAATTATTCTCGTATGTCTCTTTCACTTCATCTAAGGTGCACGGTCTAGTGAAGACCACATAGTAATTATTTTGGGCTCAGAATGTGGGTTGACTGTGACAATAACAAACTGACAGGAAGTGTTGTTTGTCTCTACACAGTTCTTATTGAAAATGTTTTAAACTCCTTCTTTGGTCCAATCATTAAATATTATAGCTAGGAATGAAAAGAAGACCCGTCTCGACCGTGGATTGCGTTCAAATCTGGGACAGATGATTTTGGGACTATACCATATCACTTTATTTATAAAGCACTTAAAACAGCAACAAGGCCAACCAAAGGCCACAGGATCAAAACATAGATCCAAAAAGATAAAGATAATAACTAAATGGCTAAAGTTATAGGATACAGACAAGTTAAAATCAACTCACAGTGTCAAAATCCAGGGAATAAAAGTGAATTCTTAAACGAGACTTAAAAACAGTGAGAGGGGGAGTCTGCCTGACATGCAGTGGTAACTCATTCCACAGTTTTGGACCTGCAACAGAGAAAGCCCTGTCACCTCTGAGCTTAAAACAAGTGCCTGGAACCAATCAAAGCATCTGGTCTGCTGACCTCAGAGCGCTGTGGGGCATATGGCTGCAGCAGATCAGTGAGATGTGTTCACTGCCTTAACTCTTCTGTTGGGCTCACATTTGTGTTTTTATGATGAAGCTGAGTGACACGCAGTCACGTGGTAAACATTATACTTGCTAAGAAGTTATATTTTGGTTGTGATCATATATGTACTGAGCTCAAAGCAATGCTGCTAAGCTAAGGAGTTTTATCGTGGCGAGACTCTGTAGGCACCAGAGTAAAACAGAAAAATAGATCAATGGAATTGGAAATTGAGTGAGGGGCTCCAGCAGGAATTCGTGCAGTTTGTAGCCATGTTTAAAGCAGCTAGGATGATCATCAGTACATTCCAGTTAGAGGTCATGGTCCTCAACCAGAAAAGCATGGATTGCCATTTCTGGATTGGGACCGAACCACTGCCCCAAGTGCAGGAGTGCAAGTATCTCAGGGTTTAGTGAAATTGTTAGGAGATTAGCTACTCAGGATGAGCTTGGAGAAGATCCACTGATCTTCTGCATTGAAAGGGACCAGTTGAGGCATCTGTTAAAGAGGCTTTTTGGAAACCTTACCAAGGAGGTGTATCTGATATGTCGTATCAAAAGGAGACCTCAGGGCACACCCAGGACTTGCTAGTGAGAGCACGTAGGAGACACGAGCTGGAGAAGTTATAGATGGATGGATGACTGATCGCTCGATTAGTTGGTAAAGAGCTGCCGTATCAAGATATGTGTTGCCATGTAGAAAAAAAGAGTTTCTCTAATAAACAAAGTAAATCTACGATATGTAAACTGATGTTTGATTGAATGAATGAGCAGCAGCTTTTGTCTGAGTTTATGTTATGTGATATGAGGGGTGTACTCACCTTTTTTGAGATACTGTACATAATTTGAGCACTAACAAATTGAAATTTTTCTTAAAAACATTGAACGTTATATGGTTTCATTTTAAAAGTGAACCAGAGAGAAAGTCTTGCTGCTGGATTGTAACTCCACCCTGGGGTCTGTCTGTGATGGATTTGTTGTTTTAATGTCTTGAGGGGACGTTTGCTTTCTGTGCGCACGCACAAGAGCCAGCCGAAAGGACTGTCTTAATGAAAGATAACACGAGTGAAGGGTTTTAGTAGTTGTTTATGTGTAAAAAGTGTGATGCAATTACTTGAAACCTTGAGGACGCTGTCTCATAATTCTGAGGCTGTGGGTTTGAGCCCAGAAAACTAAACCACTGAACCACTGAGCAAAACTAAAGGGAACCAACTCTTCAAAATGAAACAGGAAGTAAGGTTGGCACTACTAGAATTTAATCAGTGCCTGGGAATCTAACAGAACAACCCAACTCGTGTCAGAAAATGTCACTAATTCAAGAATAAAGAACAAACTTATTACTCAACATTAGCAAATAAACCCTGGAGTTCATTAAAAACTTGATTTTTGCTCCATTGACAGTATCAATACCACCTGTCTGCCTCAGTTCGGCTACAAACACGTTTTGTCTTTGACGGAGGAGGTGAGTCGCTTCACAGAGGAGGTGAAGAAGCAGATGGTGTCCAGGAACCGAGACGCCCCGGAGGGCGGCTTCGACGCCATCATCCAGGCTGCTGTGTGCAAGGTGGGAGCTAGAGCTGTCATTTATAACCCAAAACCTGGCCCGGACCGACCCGGATTATGTCTGGTCCGGGCCGTTATAATGTGATTAATGTGCGGGCCGGGCTGGTCTCAGGCTTTGATGCGGTTTTACGAATCATACGGCACAAATAAAATGAGAGGATGAAGAAAGAAAGAACAGTGCAGCAGTTAATCATAATGTGGAAAAGATCGCTGGCGCATTGCACAATTACGCACGTGGGCTCAGGCTTTTGCGGTTTTGCGAATCATACAGCACAAAGAAAACTAAATAATGCACAATCTAAAATTGTGTTAGTCTACTCGTTGAGGAGGTGGCCGGTCTGATCGGCCGGTTTAAAGAGGTTTAAAAAAGTCGCGTTAAGCTCAGATGGACAACCTGTCACCGGCCGCGCGCGTCCGCTGACCCGCTGGTTGAAATAGACTTGCGACTTGTCCAGGGTGTACCCCACCTTTCACACAGTGACTGCTGAACATGGGCACCAGCGACCCCCGCTACCCTAAAAGGAAGAAGCGGGTAAATATAATGGATGGATGGATGGATCAATCAGCTGATCACTGGCCGCGCGTGTCTCTGCACCTGCTGTCATCTGCGGTGAAGGTAGTAGCAGCATCTACAAAAGCCGAAGCGAGCAGCGCGTTCAATTAAAATAGCCTTTTTCTATATTTTTCCAAATAATTTTGCTCTAAAAATAGTTTTGTTCATCTGTGTAATAGCCTATATTTACAGTTGATTTTTTTTAGGCTATTCATTTTGTATGTTAATATCCATTTGGTGACTTGTTAATAAACATAAATCTTATAGCTTCCTTTCATTACATTTTTGAAACTATCATGTCAAACTGATTTGCTTACAAAAGCAGTTAAAGCTTAATTAAAAAAAGTTGGGTTTTTTCAGGTTCAGTCCTCTAATTACCAGTAATCTGTTGGATTCGGGTAGGGCTTGGAAAAAACCCCTACAGGCTCGATCCAGTCCGGTCTGGATTTATTAGGCCCGAATGCAACTCTAGTGGGAGCGGCGTTGTCTCATGCACAACATCTGGCTCTTCTTTCTCTTGTGTCACGCTCTTGTAAATGCTTCAGGATCACGCAACACTACGTGATGCAAGGAAAACAATTATCAGTTAACTGTGCTGCTGTTGGTCGATGCAAAGGGGAAAGTTGAAGTCAAGTATTTTTTTTTTCTTTCACGGGAACCAGGAGCAGATAGGCTGGCGTCCCGATGCGTCCCACCTCCTGATTTTCACCTCAGACGCCAAAACCCACGTGGCTCTGGATGGTCGGCTGGCTGGAATCGTGCAGCCCAATGACGGGCGGTGCCATCTGGACACTGAGAACGTTTACGGCATGTCTACCACCATGGTTAGTACAAACTGAGCCAAGGAGGACATCCACATTAACCGATAATGTCTTCTTTTGACCTGACAGCACGGTCCGATTTGTCCCGCAGGACTACCCGTCTCTTGCGTTGATCACAGAGAAGATGTCGGAGAACAACATCAACCTCATCTTCGCTGTCACCAACCCTGTGGTTCCACTCTACCAGGTTCCTTTTCTTTGCTTTTGAGTCAATATAACCTATTAAAACTATACAAATAATCACAAAGTTTGTTTTCTCAGTCATCCAGGTATATAACAACAAAAAAGGTTGAATCATGTCATCTGGACTTCGTTTTTTTGTTAAAAAGAAACGTTTCGCCCCTCATCCAAGAGGCTTCGTCAGTCTGAGGCCTAGCCATCTGGTATTACCCAGAAGCCACCCTGACTCTTGTGTTTCAAGCCTGCCTCAGATACCCCTGAAGTCTGGCCTTTTCACTAATGGTTTCAAAAACACAAAGTTTGTTTTCTCAGTCATCCAGGTATATAACAACAAAAAAAGGTTGAATCATGTCATCTGGACTTCGTTTTTTTGTTAAAAAGAAACGTTTCGCCCCTCATCCAAGAGGCTTCGTCAGTCTGAGGCCTAGCCATCTGGTATTACCCAGAAGCCACCCTGACTCTTGTGTTTCAAGCCTGCCTCAGATAC